ATTTCTTCAGTCGTTAATGGACCTGTCAAATCGGTTTGTTTTCCTAATTTTGCCAATGAATCGCTTCATCCAACCAGTTATTCTCAACAATTTTCTTAAATTACTATATTTTGAGATGTCTATAAGCCTTTCTTCAACTGCTGTGCACACAAATTCATAAATATCATTAATATTCTTGCGGTATTCTAATTCTTCTTCGGTGACAGGTTTCTCTTCATTCTGTCGAGGCCACAACTCAGACGACATTCTAAGCCATTCTGGTCCTTGAAACCAGATAGGATTGTTTTTCAAATCATGGAAGTTTAGCTCCTCTCGAACCAAATCAGCGGGATTACATTTACCGGTGCAATAATGCCAATTTTCTGGGGATGTCAAATTTTGTATTTCCTGAATACGATTTTTAACGAAAAGCTTAAATTTCTTTGCGCAGTCCTTTATCCAGAAAAGTGTGATTTTCGAATCAGTCCAGAAAAAACAAGAAGGTTGTAACTTCAAAACTTTATTGATGCTAGTGCCTAATTTGGCTGACAAAAGAGCTCCCATTAGTTCCAACCTAGGTAAGGTGAGCGGTTTTAAAGGCGCTACTCTAGTCTTTGAAGCAACAAACCGTATATATTTGTTCATTGCTAGAAATTATACGTAGATACGCTACTGTACCATATGCCTTTTTGCTAGCGTCAGAAAACAGTGCAGTTCAAATCCTTTCCACATCACTATTACCGATTGCAGAAAAATAATATCGTGGAATACCGATTTCGTACAAATTGGAAACTTCTTTGCACCATGTTTTCCATACAGAACATAAATTTTCTGGTAGTTCATCATCCCAATCTAAAGCAAGTGTCCAAATTTGCTGCAATAAGATTTTGACTCTAAGTACAAACGGTGATAACAGACCTATAGGATCAAAAATTCGTCCTATTGCCTGTAGGACAAAACGTTTAGTATTAACTTGTTTTGAGAGAAATGTTATAAAATATTCTAAGATCTTTAAATCGACATCAATCACTTTTAAAATGTAACTTTTAATATGTACAATATATACAGTTCATAGATCAAACATGGTGGTTCAGTTGACAAATAAATCTATCTATATGCTTTCATAATCGAAAATCGAAATCAAATAGGAACCGAAGTGTTCCTAATCAAATAGTGTGCGAAGTATCAACATCCATCTATCGAACTGCCGGTGGAGAGTCTATCGAAATTCAGAAGGCACATTGCGTCGCGTTAACACGCAACGCTAGCGCCATCTATCAATTAATCAAAATAATTTCAACAACACATATGAATAAAGAGGAGAAAAAGCTAATATAAGAACTCGGTAATGTAGATGAGAAAACATTATCTGAACCCGAAGTTGATAATTCTGATGGCAAAGAAGATTGGATTCAGCCTTTCAAAACAGCGAAAGTCGCGGAAATTTCCATCTAAGTTAAAGAAATTCCACAAACCAATCACTTTGAAAAACTCATTCAACAGAAGCCAGATGAAGAAAGCATGACTACAGAGCAGCAGCTAAATGGTGAAGATAAACCCTAAGCCGCCTACGCCCTTTTTATGTCCCCGTCCGGATGTAAATTGGAATAATCTATAATAAGACTCTTTTTCAAGTACAAAATTATCGAATACAAAGGATCTGTCCACTCGGACAGCATAAAAGTCAGTTAGAAATATAAGCATAGAGGAATCGGATGCCTCTAAATACAAGAAATACAATACAATACCTTCCTAACTGGAAATGAAGCATAAATCAAGGTCCTACTGAAAGGACTAGATTCTGATTTTTCAGAAGAAGAAATCCTAATTACCAAAGTGCAACAATTTACAGGAAAAACAAAACATGACGGAGAAAGTACCGATCTTTTTCACAGAAGTCCCGAGGTCAGACGAAGGAAGGAAAATTGTTGAACTAAAGTTTCTTCTACTTACTAATTCATATTAAAAGTTTCAAGAATTGGAAGTTCTCCGCCCAATGCTTCTGTTTAGAAGCTAACGAAACTTAAAACTCTGCTTTTTGTGCCTGCGAATGTAATAATATTTTTAATATTTGCATATCAAGCAGTAAATTAAACACTAATATAATCTGGTTCTTAAGTTTAGTGGTCCCATCAGTGGGAGAGGGATAAAGGTTGCTGAACACTAGTGGGGTGTCCCAGAGTTCGATTCAGGCGAACGGGCTGGCTGCATAGTTGTTTTTTGTGGTTTTCCCCATGCATAATGCGAATATGAGAATTTTGCTTACAGCCTTCCTCCATGGCTGCCAAAATTTGACCGCGATTCGCGAGCCGCATAATACTGTCTCGGGGAATGTTGAAAATGTTATTATTATTTTTTTTTTTTTTTAAATTCAAAAACATTTAGATTCGCAGCTTAAATGTGGAACGCTTTAATGAGAGCATTTTGAAAATCGGGATTCCGAATGATTGCCCAGCTTAAACAGATAGCCCCCACATACTTTGACACACTTAAATAATGAACAAACCTAATTCAAGCGCAATTTATAAACATAACTACTAGCAAAATCCAGAAATTCATTGAAATCTAGTGTAGGTATCCAATCAGGAGGAATACGAGAGATACACCGTCTGTGGTTACAATGTCAATATCCTCCTTCAAAACTTAGATTATCATTCGTTAGTTAAAAATTCTCTAACTTGTACTTTTGGTAGAGTTGACTGAAAGTGTAGAAGTGCAGATTTGAAAAACCTTGATTGATATAAAATTAGCAAACAGAAGAGGACATTTTTTAAATAATTTTGGAAAAAGAATAAATTAATATCAGAAGCGTCATCATTTACTGCAGTAATAATGATTAGAATTCAATTATTGACAATTGCATGCTAAATTATAATTTCAAACACGTAATGAAAATATGCTACATAGAAAAATGCATTTTAGGATAAAAATATCTGATGTAGAAACCACATGACTTAATTGCAAGGTCTATCAAATTATACACACTTTTTAACCTGCACTTCATTTAAATATATTTCCTTAAATTTCATTGCAGATATATTTCTCATTCAATCAATTCAGTTATGACTTTGCGGCAAGGCAAAAATACATAAAAGCTCAAGGCATCTTCGTTAAAAATTGTCAAAATACAAAAAAATCTAAAACACCAAGTCGCACCTTACTACAGTTAAAAACAGAAAGAAAAAACAATTTTTATAATTAAAATTAGTGTCTATGATCAAACATACTCGACCAACGGGAATTTGAAGACAAAAATCTTCGGTGCACAAAACTGAAAGTTAATTTTCCATCCTATTGGGCAAAAAGACTCTGAAGTTAGTGCACCAAATGACTTCGTTAGGCTTAATTCGGCACTTAAACTTCTGAATTGTTAATAAAACCTTAACCGGAACATAAGAACAACATAATTCAATTTTTTAAAGTAAAAAATGCAGAATTTACCAAAATATAAGAATAAAAATTTAAGCTCACCGAGCCAGGTAACAGAATGGGTGAAAATGTTTACTTAATATTAGAAATTTTTAAATAATATGAAACTTGAAACCTTCCAATGAAAAACAATTTTGCGAATTCTTTTCATAAAAATATACTTATTGAAAAGATGCATACGAAGTTTAGTAAATGAAATGCATAATTAAACTCATGAATGCTAGGGTACATTTTATCAATATAATTTTTCAAATGTATTTGAATAAAAGTTTAAATTTTAATTGACTGCTCAAATTTCAACAGCAATGGCTTGCTTAATGCAACTCATAGCCACCTACAATCACTCTTCGACACAGTGTTTATAGACGAATTGTTAGAAACACCTAGGACTTCTTAATAATAGGTTATGTATATCTAGAATTATCAAGACAATTCGAGGGCTAGTCTCTAAAATCAATCATTTTAAAATCAATTACTTAAATCATGCTTAAATTATTTTTAAATTCTGGCACAATTTAAAAAATTTGCAAAATCTGAGAATTCAAATGTCTCATCCTTAGGGCGGGATACACAATTCTAGCTGATAATCCATTTCACATCTAAATTAATTTCATTATTTATTATTATGTGTTCTTAGTACACTTAACGTTATGCTAAATTGCATGTGGAAAACTAAATTATTATATTTATGCAAAAGCCGGGAAATGTTCGCATCTTATTTTTTAAAACAATATTACTTTCTTGAGCGGCAGCTTTTCCAAAACTTGCCCTGTCCGATGTCACATATTTAATTTTTTCCAGAAGTTCGCTCTTGAATTGAAAACAAAGAACCATTATAAGCACTATTTTTCAAGTCAGTGCTTTATGCTTAATTCAAATAAAAAGCTATACTTGTAAAGAACACTACATCTTCTTTTGATTACAACTAATTTCTATTACAATCAGACAATAACAATAAACAGTGTAGAGAAGAAAATACTGCATTTTCTCTCTGGTGTGGTGTAGTGGTGTATTTAATTATGGCAAAACACACTAGGGCTATCTGCCTAAGGGGAGGGATGCCTTCGTGGAGGACTTTCTAAGGGAAATGGCTCGTTAACACGTTACACATGGGGAAAACCACGAAAACACCCATGTAGCCAGTCCGTTCGCGGGATGCGAACCTCGGACCGAACTACCAGTGCATTTTCTGTCTGGAAGAAGGAGTGTCAATTTTAATATGCAGTAGTTTAAAATCTATATAAACATGTTTCTCTAGTAAAGTAAGAGAAATAAGAAATATTTCATACATGCACATACATAAATTGTCTTTAAATCACTTTAAAAGCTTCTTTCTATTCAAAATCCATTTCTCTATTTTTAAAACAAATGTGAATTGTAAATGTGGAAGTGGAAATTTCCCAGAACCTCACTTTATTTCTTAAACTTTTCTGAAATCTACCATGCGGCTCCTACTGCTAAGAAGTTTGGCCATCCCCGGTATATAACAATCAGATGACTCCTCGTGTACTATTTTAAAGATGTGGATTTACATATCAATAGTCACATTTTAAAGCTAAATGCATAAAAAATAATATTTGAAAAATACAAACCTCTAGAAGAAAAAATTTGCTTTGGAAAGATTCCACTTGTTCAATTACATCTAAGATCAAAGATAATGAGTTCTCTAGAGAATCCACCTTATTGGCAAAATAACCAACATATTTTGAAGCCTTCATAGCTCTTAGATTCATCTGATGACTTTCAATTATAGATACAATGTTTTCAGAGCTTTCTAGTTTATAAAATGTTTTAAATTCTTTCATATCAAAGCATACAGACATCCATATGTTTTCAACTTCTTCGATAGACTGAAAAAATTAACAAAATAATAAATTAAAAGATTACTAATTAAAATACTGTTTATAATGGACCTTATATTGAATCTATATGTTCATTGATTTCATGAAGAAAATATAAGTTTCTTCTATGATATCGAAATTATATATGCAAATATACCTTATGGTAGCAGAAAAATAACATGCAATAGAATCAGTAGACACACGGAATTGATCAATCATGAAAAACAAAACGCATCACCATTATCAGCATGCCAAGTTTTCATAAATACATGACTGTTGATATATACCAGAGCTTCTGGAAAATATACTGAGGACCTAAGGAGGAATCACGAACAAATGTAATTGTTCATTTAAAGAAAATTGTTGTAGAATTTTTTCATTTAAAGAATTAAATTTATTTATTCATTTTTTAACTTTTCATTTAAAGAAAATTGGTGTAGGTATAAAGCAGTATTGTTATCGTATGCTGTGAGGAAAAACAATTTAAAAAAAAAAAAAGAGATTCAGGGGTAGAAATGAAAAATAGTATTACTCATAAAAAATTTAACAATTAATTTAATTAGAAAATCGGTGTATTGCTGCAAGATATGAAACAGGTGGCGTTTTGCTAAAATTTGTTATTTTAAGAATAAATTTAAAATATTGAAGCGAAGGAATTTTCACAAAAGATGAGATATTTTTATAAAACAACACACACAAAAAAGTAAAAATATTTTGTATTGGAATTTAAAAGAATTTAAATGGAGAAATTTTTTTTATCGATTGCCAAATTTGTCTCTTATTTCTTTTAAGCAGTAATTCAGAAAAGTTAGCTTATTCAATTAAGAAAAACAGCATAAAAATATTCTGTAATTCCTTTTAAATAAAATAAAAAATTATGATTCTACCTAATTCTTATTAGGAATAATATCTTCGCTAATTATCATAATTTTTACTGGAATTGAAAATTATGATTCTCCGTTCTAATAAAAAATTATGATAACAATAGTTCCTTTACTAACATTAATTTTAAGTTGTTGTCTCTTTAAGCAACCTGATTCATTTTCCAAGATAATACTGGAGCACATATCGATGACATTAAATAAATGTGGGATATAGAGCTTAGCCTGTCCTAAAAGTTCCGTATCATTTACTTTTTTAATTATTGTTATTTATTTTTTTAATTATTATTTAGTTTCTTTTACTTTTCTTTGCCTACTGTTACGTAAATAAAATAAACACAAAATTAAATTTTAAATGAAAATAATAGTACTTTCAGTATCAATAATGTTATACCACACAAAATACATATTCTGAAAATTACAGGCTGTGCTGATTACGCTGCATTTAATGAGCCATGTGTTATGATTGGTATGCACAGCGGGGTACAAGTTTAGGTATGTTAAGGGGGAAAAGTTTAAAACCACGAAAAACTTTAAAAGCACTGATCTAAAGGATGACTTAAATTTATCTGCTGACAGCAACAACCCATTTTTGGAATAATCAGCTAATAGGATTGTCTATCTATCTGTATAAAGGGTGTTCAAACGAAAAGATATGAAACGTCGCAACAACCAAACCGGTCCAAATGTGGACATGTCGCTTTGGCATAACGTAGTGAGACATCTAAGGACGCGAATGTAGTGTCCGAAGTGGTTGTGCGCATACGCAAGCTCCCGCGTATGACGTTGGAGTGAAGTAGGCAGTTGTGTGTTCCGTCAAATTGATGCGGCAGTGCGTGTGAGGACATCTTGGCGTTCACATTGTGAAATTCGACGATTGCGGAGCAGCGAGATTTATCAGATTTCTGACTGTGGAAGGAGTTAAACCGGCTGATATTCATCGCAGGATGGTGGCTGTGTGTCCGATAAGTCAGTGAGAAAGTAGAGTGTCAGTTTTCGTGAACTTGGAGTGTTTGAGTGCTGACCCTAGACAGGCCAGGTAAAAACGGTCATCTAGGGGAACTCATCGACAAGGTGAACGACTTATTGAGAAGTGATATCTTAAAGGGAAGCCGCTTCAACTCGAACGACGAGCTGAAGAACACAGTGGAGGACTGGCTCCTGTCACAGTTACAGGAATTCTGGGAAGAGGGAATCCGTCGGTTCGTAAAACAGTGGGATAGTTGTGCTCAGGCCTTTTGTCATTATTTGTGAATAAAGACTTCAGTATATCAAAAGTGTCATTACGTACCTTTTCATTTGAACACCCCTAACATAGTATATAGAGAGACAGAAAAAGAAATCTGCATGGAGTTTCACTTAAGACAGGCAATATTAAATATTCAGTTCAATAACATTTCATAGTGTAGAGTTAAAGCTAAAAATAATGGAAAAAAGATTATACCTAAGCATTTTGATGAAGATGTGTAAAAATAATCCACGCACCATTTTCCCCCATAATGTAAAGAGAGAAACTTCCATCGAAATGCTGGATTATTTTTTCCCCATTAATCAGCATTTTGATGAAGGTCTGTGAAAAGAATCCTACCACCATTCTCCCCTTCTCTCTCTATATATATACATATACATCTCTCTCTATATATACATATATTTTGTATATATATATAGAGAGAGAGAGAACTGTACTGTATATATATATAAATTTGTACTGTGTATACATATACATATATACACAGTTTTCATTACTTACTTACTCATAAACTTAAGTCACTCATTTTAATAAACATAAGTCACTCCACTGAAGTCAAATAACACAGTATAATGGAAACAATTCAACTTGCAGATTAATACTTAAAGACCTTCATAATTTTTAAATGAGCATATGTTGACAATTTTTTATATGTACTGTCTTAATCCATTATTTATTATAAACGTAATTTTAATAATGTCACATTCATATTTTCCTTTCCCTTTCCCACTGCTGGTTGTTTTACTTCTTTCTCTAACATGTTATTATTTCTTCATTTTTACTCTTATCTGCTTATCTGCACTCAAAAGGTATTTCTAGCCCAGAAGAGACTATTAATTTCGAAACAGGATTTTACGTTGCTATAATGGTTTACTATAAACAGTATAACTTTTCAAATTGATGTCACGTAATATTATCACCCTGTAATTTAAAGAAATTAAATAATAAAGAATTTGCATGTAAGTATGTATGTTCCTCGCATTGTGAAAAACGTTAGTACCAAGAGCCATAAAATTTTGAATAATGTAGTCCTCTACCCGAACATGTGCACCTGGAATTCACAAATTTTGAATTTCTAATTTATTTCATTACTCATATCATATTTTGTAAAACTTAAATGAATTTTTAATTAACAAAATCACTAGGAAAGCGAGCAGTGGTAACATTGTTCGAAATAAAATATATCTCCAATGCGGAAGACTATTGCCATTCAGAAAAATGCAAGATATTTATTTATCTTTCAGTTTTAATTAACAAACTCGCCTCTATGAAAGCAATATGAATGGAATAAAATGGATATGATGCAAGTAAGATGAAGTAAGATGGAAATAAAATACTTTTATTTTCCAAGAGCTAGCTTGCTGCCATTCAGCAGAGCCTAAGATACTTTCAAATTTAATCTCGAGTAGGAGTGATTATTGAGTAGGAGTAATTTAAAAACAATAAACACAGTTCTTAAGAATATTTTTTCTACTTTTTTATGTGATTGATTTATATAAGCATGTATTAAAATCATGAGATTTCTAATTAGAAATATTCAATATTTTCATAAAATTACACTAGCTGGACTCATTAAAATCATTATATACTTTTCTTGTTTATGATAAATATTTTAGGCAGCTGGTCATACAAGCGATTAGTTTTTATAGAAATAATATAGGGAATATTAAAATATGCATGGCATCCTCTAACATTCTATCAGGAATTCTACAGATATGCTTTTTAAAATATTTTGTAATTTTCCTGTTAAATTGAATTTTATGTCAATTAATTGAGAAGAACGTGACATTTAATAAATAAAGTTATTGCATAAAAAGTTAGCAATAAAACAACAAAGAAAAATGTTCGTTAGCCGTCTCACTAAGAAAACTTAATATTGATATGATAAACTAAGAAAAAACGAAAAAATAGAAAAATGTGTGCCAACACTTCACACTGCATCACAAATTAAAAACATATGCTGCTATGCAACTTTTAAAAATTTTGGGTTTTTTAAAAAAATTGTTCTAGTTGAACTGTATGTGCTTTTGTGTGAAGAAAATGATACTTAATAACAAAGCTATAAAAACAGAAAAAAAAAAGAAAAAAAAAAAATGGTTTAGCAGGAGTGAGTGCAAAAGCAGACAGGTAGACTGTGAGCTCAGTGTAAAGAAACTTGACAAACCCTCTTGTGCAACCCTTAAAATTTGAAACTTTTCAGATTCTTTTTATTTTTTATTATTTATTTTATTTTATTTGCTATTTCTGATTGACATTTATTCTTCTTTTCAGTCATTCATTATTATATTCTGGGGTTATCATATCCAGTCCTTCACTTATAACAGCTTTTAAGAAGACTGCTAGGATTATTTTCAAACAGTCATTTGCTTCACACAATGCATCCATACACATTTATCAAATACACCCATACCTATAACTATTTTAATTTATGTGTATAAAAGAGCTTAATTTTCTTACAATAAGCATATTATGAGAAACTATACCTTTTCTATTTCATACTCTTTCCTAGCTTGAGTTGCAACCACACTAACTTTATTAACAAGATTTTCTACTTCCAAGTTTTGTAAACATGAGAAAGTGAAATCTGCACTTTTGAAAAAATCTTCACTATCTTCCACAGCAACAAGGTTTAACAAATTCCTTAGTTCATCCCAATGTCTTTTTTGCAAAGTCTTTTCTTGAAAATTCAAAATCACTTCATAATATTCATTTAAATTATCCACTTTAGACAGAAGCTCATCAAGCAAAACCCAGTGGGTTCCCTTTCAAAAAAAATCCAGAATTTGAATTAATACATAGTTCTCAATTTTTTCTTTAAGATATATAAAAACTATTGAATCAGACTGCATTTAAAAAGCATAACTTAATCACCTGTACTTCATTTTTTAATTGTTTTATATTCTTTTCAAGATTATCAGAAAGAACTTTTTTACTTGGAACATCAAATTTCACAATCGGTAAATTACTCCATTCCTCTGTATATCCATCATGCTGCTTTACATAGATCCATGATACTTTAAGATGTTCTAATTCCTAAATAATATAATGTACAAGAATGTAATTAAGATTTTATTGCATTAATCGAGCAATTTACTGCATTAATTGAATAATTTATTGCATTCAATTTAAAATGAAATTATTAAATATGTAAAAAAATTTTAATTCATGACAAATAAAAATAAAATCAACAGAATCTCAATAAATCAGCATGAAAATGAGATTATTAAAAATTCATGTTTAGTATACATTTACAATATGTCAAAATATATAAATAAGAAATTATCAACATAAAGTCTTTAAAAATAACATCTAAAATTAACATTTTAAAAGAAAGTAATCAAAAAATAAAAGAGAAAAGGGTAAAATTCGGAAAAAATATTCAGAAAAAAGTTAGTTCTCATACTCTTAATTTCAGCTTCAAACAGCAATTAACTATACATTAAATTATGCCACTTAAAAATTGCAATTAAGTCACATGAAAATGTGTTTTCAAGATACCAAGTAATTACATAAAATTAGGCAAATATAATAAAATGACATGTAACTGCATAAAACAAATATTGTTAAATATTGCAAATAAAAGCAGCTGCTCAATTGTTAATAATTCAGTTGCCAATGTTGTTGAAATGTTAAACTTCAGTTATAGAAATTCAGATGCATGCTTTTCAGTTTTAGCGTAGTTTGCAGGTTTTTGACTTTAACGAAACAATTAAATATAAGAGTAAAAACCTACTTTTACTAATTTAAATTAAATAATGGATGATTTAACTTTCTGTCTCAGAGAATAAAATGTCACAGAAAAGAAAAAAAAATCAAGCAATAAGTCATTATCTCAACGGCAAAATTCAAATTCACTTCAAGTTATTCATAATGAGACTTTTTACCCCCTTTATTTCCAATGTCTAGGCAAAAAGTTACAAAGAACTAAAATTTTATGAAAAGAGGTTACAAACAATAGAACTAAGGATAAAAAGACCAAGTCATTGTCTAAGGAATGCTCTTGCCTCTCAGTATCTCGACTCCTCTATAAAACCACGAAGAGACCCACACAGAAGCTGGTGGTCCCTGTCCATTTCTTCTCCATAATCACAAAGTGAGCAAATAGAATCATAATAAGACATAATAAGACAGATAAAAAAATATTATAAACTGAATTTTGAAATGATAAAATTTTAAATAAAAATCAATATAATTGTAAGTTACAAATATAACTAGAAAAATTTTCTGTTCATGTAAATAGATTATAAATACAATTCTTTTGTAGCAGCTTCCCTCTGGAAAGAATTTAGAAAATTTTATACAGTTGAAGATTGCTTGCATTTCCGCTCATCCCCATATTAAACGAATTTTAACTTTTAAAGTACAAACATTTTTAGCAAAATTTTTAATAAATACTTTATTATTTTAGAGGGCATTTAAGTTTTCTATAAATATGTTAGAATTTTCCATTATAAAAATTTCATTAAATACAGCTTCTAATATAAAAAAATACAAGGTGACCCAGAAGTCTCTTAACATTTGAAAATTCAATAATTCACGGAATAATGTAGGTAGAGAGGTAAAAACTTATGCACATCTTTAAAATGACATGGGGTTTTATTGAAAGAAAGATAAAGGGGAAAATTTTGCCAAAAAGGCCAACATATGGCACAGCGCAGCAAAATGTCATTGACGCCGCATAAGAATCGTGTATGAAATGAGCTGCAGTGAGAGAGGGAAGAGAGGGAATCCTCGCCTTAGGGTGTTGGTCACGTGTGATGCAAATTTATCACATCAATCGTCATCGAACCCTTTTCCTTCGAGGAAATGCGTCATTCTGCTACTCAAACTGTCACTGTGACGGGTGCGAGGTGCGCTGATATGTTACAGAATCGCATTATCCTTAGGCTGGCTTAATAAACATCTGTTGAAAGGTATGACCTTTTTTGCAGGATGGCGCTCCACCCCATATGGCTACCCGTGTGAAAGATCTCTTGCACACATGAGATGAGGATGAGGATGACGGAAATGGCGGCACGTGCTGAGCCGCCATTTCCGTCAAACTTGGCCTCTCAGATCCCCAGATCTCAAGCCTTGTGATTATTGGTTGTAGGGTTACCTGAAACTGCAAGTCTACTGCGATCGTCCGACCTCATTAGGGATACTAAAAGACAACACCTGACTGCAATTTCTCACCATACGCTGTACAGTGCTGCTCACAACATTGTTCCTCAACTACAGATATTGTTGATGAATGACGGCCGAAATGTTGAACATTTGTTATAAAGCAAATAGTCTTTGCTAAAAATCTTTCCTATAAGTTTATGTTAATTGCTGCTTTTGTTATCATATGAAGCGTCATTTGTTGGCCGTTTTAACACTTTTTTTTTTATTTGCGTTTTCAGTAAAACCCTCTGACATTTCAAGCATGAGTGTCATTTTTACCTCTCTATCTACATTATTTAGTGAATTATTGAATTTCCAAATGTTAATGAACTTTTGGGTCACCAAGTATTTATAATATGAGTAAAATATATCATCTTCTTTTAACATACTTGTTCAACTAATTTCAGCATTTCCAAAGGCTCTAAAAATATATGAAAGAAAACAGCATCTTTATTCATCTGAAATTCTTTCTTCTTAAGACCAAGTAAGCATTTCTTAAAAAATGCTATAAGTACCATAGCACTGTCATAATCAAACTTCAGTGTGAAAGGACCAGTCTCACTCAATTCTTCTTTAAGACTATTGGCAGCATTTTTCAGCTTTTCATGAAAAGTCAGAAAATACCTTTGATGTGTTGCCTGCAATATAAAAGTATTTTTAAAAAATAATTTGCAGATATAAAAAGTTACAAGCTTTATTATTATTATATAGATTTTGCACTAAAATGTGTTATACAGGTAACAGGAAACACTTGTTTATTAAACACAACAATGCTTCAAATGCTTATAATTATCAGTTGAATATATTTTAAATTATAACAATTACATATATTTTTAAACAATTTAAATCATTAAGAAGAGTATTTAAACCGTTCCTTTTGTTAACCAACACATCTACAATTTGATATATAAATTAGACAGCTTAATGTCACATTAAATAGAAACTAATGAATAATAAAATGGTAACACTTAAGAAATTGCACAAATGATAAATGGCATGGTAGTATAACATCACATACTATAAAGCGTCAAAAAGTTTTGAAAGACTCCATGAAAGATAGTCTAACATAATATTTCATAAACAAAAAAATTTTCTCTTCTTCATAAACACAGATACAATCAAGTAAGTTTTTATATAAATTTCTTTTAAATTATTTTTATACTGCATGGTTGACAGGTGTCCAATTCACCTCCATGTTGACAGGTGGCTCCATTTTAAATGGCACTTTGAAAAATTCTCCATCTTAATTTAATTCTTAAACAAAAAAAAAAAAAAAATCCATTAAATAAAAAATTCTTAAAATTTACACTTATAAACAAAGATTGCAATTACAGCCAAGTAATTTTGATTTTTAAAACCCATATTTAAGATGTTAAAATTCTGAAATAAATTGTCACTAGTACAACCATTAGGGAATTATTATATGTAGAATCGGTACTTATTGTCTAGGAATATGATGTCTGTAAACTTACTTCCGATGTGGCTATCTAGGGGCTTGAAATGACTAATTCGACTTATGAAAAACTCGAATATTTAATGAAACATAAATAGTTGTTACAGACTACAAAATGATTACATGTGTAGAAAGATGAATTTACATAGATGATATATACAGATGAAGAGAATCGACTGTCTTTTACATGTAAACATCTTTCAGTCGCGTCATCGTCTTAATGGCGGAATCGTCTGAATTCTATCATCGGAAAAGTAAAAGATTTATTCTCACAGCTTGTCGCGTCATCCAATTATAATGAAGGATGCCATCCCACAACTGCTCGTCCATCCTGATGGAATGCGGCCTCGCATTCTCGTAGCACCACCATCTCATCCAGGGATCTGAAAAATAAAATTAAAAAAAAAAATAAAGAAAAGATTTTTAGTTACTATTGAGGGAAAAGTCGTCCTAAATGGTTTATTTCAGCCATCTTCCCTTATCATCTTAACATCCTCAGAAATAACGGCGTTAGCTCTTCTTAAATGCTCTTTCAGTGTTCGTTCATCTTGAACAGTCTATCTGAATACATGTATTTTACAAACACGTCTTCCTTTGATGTTGTCTGGAACAATTCATCTTCGTATTTACGTCTTCTTAAACATCATATGGATACGTCTTCTGAATGCGTCGTCTTAGATACCATCTTCTTGAAGCCGTCTTCCTTCATACTCTTCATCCTTACAATAGTTCATTAGTCAAATAGTGAAAAATTAGTCAAATCGGGAAAAATTTGTCATCTTGGGAAAACGTTTATAATCAGGAATCATCAAAATTGGTATTTCATTATCAAAGATCGTCTGTCCATGGTTTCAGGTATTCAGCACAGGTACTAGTCTTGAAAGGTCCTTCGGTAAAACCAACCTTCTCCACGTCGTATGTGTCATTAGGTTTCACCTTGGTGATTTTGTATGGACCTAAAAACTTGGATTTTAGCTTTATACCTGGCCCTAGTTGAGTGCGTTTAATAGCTACCATATCATTGATCTTGTATTTACGAGGGAGTTTCGACTTCGATTGTAAGTCTTTCGATTCTCTTCCTGGATCTTCTGAATCTGCTCTTTCGCCTCTTTACGTAGATTTTCTCTAGACTCGATAAAGTCCTTCTGGATTTCAGCTTCTATTAGTTCTTTAATCTTCCTGTCTTTATTCGTCTTTATCTTCGTACCAAACAAAAGCTCGAAAGGTGTCGAATTGATACTCCTCTGAAAAGTCGAATTAATTATTTGCTGGACGTCATTTACGTGTTTGTACCATTTCGTAGGGTCATCTATAGCCAACTTAGAAATGACTGATATGATAGTGGAATTCAACCGCTCTACTTGTCCATTGGCTCTTGGTAATCCTGTTGTGATTAAGGATAGATGAATATTTTCCTTAGTACAATAATCAGCAAATTCTTGAGAAGTAAATGCAGTACCTCTGTCAGCTACTATATTGCAGGGATTTCCAAATAATGATTTTTGAATTTCAAGTTTAGCTATTACTTCTTTACTAGAGGTGGTTTTAGTTGGATGTAACCAAACAAATTTTGTAAACGAATCAATAACCGCGAAAATGTATTTATAAATCTTGTTAGAACTTTCTAAAGGTCCTAAATAGTCTACGTGGTAAGTGTTCAGAGGAATATCTTCTTTAGGCAAAGGATGTAATAATCCTTCCTTCTTTCCAGATTTCCGGTTGGCCAGTATACATGTAATACATTTTGCAATTTTCTCTTTCAATTTAGGGATATAAAAATGTTGTCTCACATGTTCTTCAGTACGTTTGGCAGCAAAATGACCTCGTTCATGTGCGTCTTTAATTACTTCAATTTGCATAATCTCAGGTACTACTAGTGCTTCAATTCCATTCACCATTTTGTAAAGCACGTCATTCCGCAAACAATAATCTTCATATGGCTTAGACTTCAAAACTTCTTTTATAACTTTTATATTTTCATCAGTTTCTTGAGCTTGAATTATCTTAAATGTTATACCATCTTGAATTACCATACATACAGGATTTCGACTAAGAGCATCCACATGTCCCATACGGGTGCCAGATCTGTGTTCGATTGTGTAATCATAATCTTGTAACATTAATGCCCATCTAGATATTTTAGTACAAATGTCTTTCTTGCTCATAGTTTGTTTGAATGCATTACAATCTGTCACGATTTTAAATGGTATGCCTAATACGTACACCCTGAATTTTTTAAGAGTTTCTACGACTGCTTTAACCTCTAATTCGTAGCTCGAATATTTACGTTCAATGTCTGTCGTTTTTCTACTCATATAATAAACCGGATGCATCTGATTATCAATTAAGGATTTCTGTAATAGAACCGCACCATAACCGTCAGCACTAGCATCAGTGTGTATTTCGGTTTCTGCTTTCGGATTATAAATACACAAAACAGGTTCAGATGTCAAGATGCGTTTCAATTCGTCAAAAGCATAAAGTTCTTTAGTTTCGAATTTAAATTTAGAATCTTTCTTCAGCAAATCACTAAGCGGTTTTGCAATTAATGAATAATTAGGTATAAATTTTCTGAAGTAACCAGTTAAACCTAAATAACTTTGAACATCTTTTACACATTTAGGTTCTGGAAAGTTAATTACTGCTTTCGTTTTAGAAGAAGAAGGATATAATTTCCCATCTTTAATTTTGTGTCCTAAAAATTCGATTTCGCGCTTCAAAAATTGACATTTCTTAATGTTTAGTTCTAGTCCATATTCCGATGCAGTCTGTAATACGCGTTTCAATTTTTTAATTCCCTGAGCTTCATTTTCGGAAGGAATAATGATGTTGTCCATATAGATTACAACAATATTGTCCTTTAAAAGATCACGAAATATATCGTAGATGTATCTTTGGAAAACACTTGGGCTGTTGGCAAGACCGAACGGGACTTTCAGAAATTCATACTGTCCGTTTTGTGTCACGAAAGATGTGTATTTTACTTACTTTCTTCGTCCACTTCAACATGAAAAAAAAAGTTCTTTTTAAATCTAGTGTTGTAAATACCATTGCTGCTTGTAATTTATCAATAACATCATCAATTAATGGCAGAGGAAAGCGATCGCGAATTATTTTTTATTCAGGCGCCGATAATCTACGCAAAGTCTCAATGAGCCACATTTTTTTTTCTACTTAGCACGATATTACTTGCGTAATCAGAACAGCTTGGTTTAATGATTTGTTTCTCCAACCACTCCGAAATCTGTTTATCAATTTCATGCTGCTCAGCGGGGGGGAAAGCGTCGCGGCGAGCAATAAACCGAAAGTTGATCTGTCATCACTATTCGCATCTTCAGGCCAGATGTTTTTATTTTATTCGGCTCATAATTCCTTACTAAGTGTAGTATTTCATTTCTATGTACTCCGTCTTTGATATGGCTTAAATCAATTTCCTCGTCAATTAAATATCACGAATGCACATCAAATAGTTTTCAAGTTGCAATTTTCTAATTTCGACTCCTTTTTTATTTACAGTTAATTCCCCTTGCCTTATAATATCAGTACCAATGATTGCTTGTAAAAACATTTCGTTTTCTGCGATAAACAAATATTTGATCGAAATGAAGAACCATCAATTTCGAATTCACCTTCAAATTTTCCTATAGGCTTAATTTTCCCATTACCAAACCCCGTTAACTGTACATCTGCCGACTTAAGTTCAGGAGAACCTATCTTCTTATGTATATATTCTCGGATTAACGTTACCTGACTACCAGTATCTATTAAAGCATCAATCTGCAAATTACCAAATTAACAGTTTTATGCATTTCTTTCTGACAAGTCTGAGTTATTGGAGTAACAGCTTTGGCATCTTGGATATTTTTAGATGATGTTTTCGAACAATCTACGGCTTTGTGTCCAAACAAAACATTTAAACACTTAAATCCTTTACTCTTATTGTTACAGAAATTCGATTTTATGGCCTAAACTTCCACAATTATAACACCTTGGCTCTTTAATCTTACTAGGTACAGCGCATGTTTTATTTTGTGTGTTAGTACTTGAATAGCCCTTATTTTTTGTATCTGGAACGCAAATTTTCTCATAAACTTTTAATTTCTCTTTGAATTCAGAAATAGTTTTACACCCGTACAAAACAATTTTGTTACTACTCTGATCTGGTATCCCATTGATTACATAATCAAGAATTGATAAATCATCAACAGAACCTCGACTGGCTATTTCACGCATGGCAATTAAATATTCGGAAAGTGATTCACCAGGTTTTAAGTGTCGTTTCTGTAGCAAATTATGAAGTTGTGCACTGTTTATTTTAGAACCAAATTCAGATAAAAGATTTTCTTTTTAATTTGTCCATGATATTATACCCTTTCAAAGACCTAATAAATACTTTAGCAGAACCAGCAAGCAATTTTTTAGCAAACACAATTTTCTGTAATTCCGATAACTTAAATAATTTGAAAGATTCTTCTAAATCACCAATGAAGGATTCAACTGGATATGTATCAGTGCCATTAAATTCAGAAACAGTTTCTAAGATATCACGAAAATGTAGGGAAATATTGCTAGGCATTATAATGTTTTCATCCACTGAGTTATTTATGGGAGGTGATTCTTGGTAATTGGGAGGTGACCGAACAGAATTAATATCATGATTTTTATCAGAATCATAAACACTTTCGTTTTCAGATAACTCATCATCGTCATCACTTTCGGATTTTAAAAGCTTAAAATCACAAAGACTATTCAATATTAAATCACAGTTTTTATCAGGATTTGAATCATAATTAAGATGTAACAAATTACACACAGAAATAAAATTATTTGCAGTAAGAGTTTTAAGTAACTTTTGTTTTGTTTCTTCAATATTAAAATCAGATGGAAAACCACAAAAGTTACTCAATCTAGCTCTATTTTTTGATCACCCAAAGTTCCAAACACAATTTGATGTAAAAGTTTAATTGACTTAGTAGGCCCAGTCTTTAAAGAATTTGAAATTCTAGGAATAGAATTTAAGGTCGTCATCTTAATTCACAGTATCATAGAGCACTATTCTTAGAAGTAACAAAGTGGAAATAATCGAAGAAAAACTTACTTCTCTTCTTTTGTAATATTCATCATGCTTCTTACTAGGCTCATACCGGCCTGAGTTCCCAATTCTGTAGAATCGATACTTATTGTCTAGGAATATGATGTTTGTAAACTTACTTCCGATGTGGCTATCTAGGGGCTTGAAATGACTAATTCGACTTATGAATAACTCGAATATTTAATGAAACATAAATAGTTGCTACAGACTACAAAATGATTACATGTGTAGAAAGATGAATTTACATAGATGATATATACAGATGAAGAGAATCGACTGTCTTTTACATGTAAACATCTTTCAGTCGCGACATCGTCTTAATGGCGGAATCGTCTGAATTCTATCATCGGAAAAGTAAAAAAATTATTCTCATAGCTTGTCGCGACATCCGATTATAATGAACGATGCCATCCCACATATAAAATCAATAAAATTTTGTTTATCAAAACCATAACTTAGTGCTAGTTTAAACATGTTTAGAGAAGTAGTTTGACAGTTGATTAAAGGAAAAAAGTGAGGGAAAAGTTCTGTTTAATAAAAGAAAGTACTCTTATGAAAATTGTTCAAAATCTATTTTATTTTGAATGATTAAAATACACTAATAAATATATGTGTAAGCTATACTTTGCATAATTTTCATTGTCTTTAATTAATGATTTGTATTTTTATTACAGAATTACATATTTCATACTATGTGTCAAAATTTATAAATTAAAAAAATATGCAAATAGTCAAATAGAAAACTAACATTAGACTAAAAAAATATGCAAATAGTCAAATAGAAAACTAACATGCTATGATTTATATGGAAATAATTTTCATATTGGACTAGAACCTGTTCTGAATATATACTTGGAACCAGTCTTTTTTTTTTTTTTTTTTTCCTTATATACTGTACTTTTTTTTTCCTTATATACTGTACTTTTTTTTTCCTTATATACTGTACTTTTTTATACAGCTCTGATCTAGAAACTCATCTACTGAATTAAAATAGGAATGAATGCATTTAAATATAGCCTTAGTTGAATGGCATTTATTTTTACAAACAAATGGCCAGTTGTCTCAAATTAGGTATGTAAAAGCTTGTTCTAAGCAAAATGTCATCTAAGAATAGATTTTATGAACTCAAATACAGATATTCTCCACAATTCTCCGCAATACAAAGAATTTTTTTAATATTATTTCACTATTATGAATGGCCCGCATTAGTACCTTTCTTAATTAATGAAAAAAATCTAAAGAGATTTTTCAATTTCACAAAAAAGACCAAAAAAAGAAAATAGTGTTGCATTACGAAAGAAAAAAAGAATGAGTTTCCTTAGGTTTAATTAGACTTCATTCAGGTTTAGGGTATTTTTGCTAACATTTTAATATGGATGCCACTGAAAAACAAACAAATTTATCCCATCTTTAAGATTTATGTGATCAGAATTGCTTTTACATATAATAATTCTACATTAGTACATTACATAATTACATATACAGTCAAAAGTCTTTAATCCGGACTTCCAGAATCCGGAATGATCTATAATCCGAACCTCAGAGCTACAAACTTTCTGCGCATGCGCATATGCGTTTACGCATGCGCATAATGCGTTCAATGTATAACGGACGGTATAAGCTAAGCTAAAATTATCTAATTATCTATTTCAGTTAATGTTGCAGATTGCGTTGTTCCTTAATCTTCGAATTAAGTTCCTTAATCTGGATCCGGTTTATTATTTTTTGCAGACTGTTAGAGCAATTTTATAAAAGTAAGCTTGATGTCAAAAATAATTTCCGATTCTGGAGCTGCCAAAGGATCTACAGAGCGAAAGCATGTTTCGATGTCCATCAAAGAAAAAGTGGAATTGCTGCAAAAAATGGATAAAGGCATATCCTTTGTTTCTCTAACCATTCCGAAATCTGTTTATCAATTTCACGCTGCTCTGCGGGGGGACGTCGCGGCGCACAATGAACTGGAAGTTGATCTGTCAACACTGTCCTTATCTTCACGGCAGATGTTTTTATTTTATTCGGCTTATAATTCCTTACTAAATGTAGTAATTCATCTCGAAGTACTCCGTCTTTGATATGATTTAAATCAAATTCCTCGTCATTATAAATAACACGAATACACCTCAAATAGTTTTCTGGTTGCAATCTTCTAATTTCGACTATGCGTAATGTATGCTTTACGCATGCGCGCGTTGTTTAATAAAATAAACAAATAAATATTAAGCTTTTTTTGTAAATTTTGTTACCCTTTAGATCATAATTGCTTCATAAATTACGGTTTCATATTTTTAGTTGTATAATTTCTGCATGCCATCTTACCTGATTTAAATGGATGATCTATAATCCGGAAAAACCGATAATCCGGAATCGCCGAAGTCCCGACGAGTCCGGATTAAAGACTTTTGACTGTAGTAATACAATATATAACAATTCTTATCTTCTCTTGAAATCTATGCGACAAGACAGATAAAATTTGATACAAAATTAAAAAGGGGACAAACAATTAGTGGTGTTAAAAAATATTGAATTTTTTTAATACCACTAATTTATCTTAGAATTTCAATAATTAGGATTTGTAGAATTTTCTCTTTTATATTTTATCACACTTAAGTACTATTAAAGCCCGAATATTTTAGAGTAATTTTATTTCTTGTACTGAAATCCTAAGAAACTTACACATATTACTGTCATACATACTATATAAACATACTGTGATAGATAGATACACACATGTGCAACACCCCTCCCCCCCCCCCAAAAAAAAGGAATGGGAAAATTTTTTATCAATAAAATAAAATTTTGGGGCCCCGTTTTTCTTATTAGCTACTGGTAGTGAGGGAACTTAATTGCCTAAAAGGTAGTGAGGGAACTAATTGCCAAAATCTAACATGTTTTTAACATTTTACACCAGCTTTTTTACCAGATATTAAATATCAGAGTGACAAAATTTTAATTCTGTATGCCAGCTGGAAACAGGTTTAAATACTAAAGAATTTATATTTTTATATCAAAATGCATTTCATATAAATATACATGAATTACCATATCTTATATTTGCAAACATTAAGAAAACAATCATAAGAGAGAAAAAATGATTTTCTATCATTTAAAGCATACCTGAACTTTCTGTAGATCAGTGTAATATTTTTTAAAATTCGCTTCAAGTTTTTTCCAGCTGGCATCTAAATTTTGCAGTTGATCTAATGACTGTAAAAAACAAAAATTATCATATCAATAAACTGAAAAATTTCATATACACATATACAAGAGGCTTAGTCAGAAAATAAGTATAACTAGACAACAACTGCCAAGTACCATCTAGAGCAGTAATTCTTAAACTGTGCTCTGCAAATCCTTGATGACTTATTAGCCAAAATATAATGGATGATTTTTTTTAATTAAAATTTCAGTTATTTAATTTCAGTGTGAAAAAAATAACAAAAATATCACTTAAATTAAATGTTAAGAATGCAGCACATCACATATGAGAAGTAATCAAGTTGCAATTTACAAACCTCTAATCTAACATTCATTAAAAAATGATGGCTCACATGTCCCAGGTGGTTTTTGGTCTATAAAATGCAACTCACACAGTAACAAATATTAATTTTATATTGAAACAGTTACAATTTGAAATAGATATTGCACTGTAATGCATTCTTTTAACATGTGTAATTTTTAAAATTATTTTAAATCTGTTAAAAAATTTCAAAATTTGATTTATTTAATTTCATTGTGAAAAAATAATAAAAGTATCATGTAAATTAATTGTTAGGAATGCAACACATCATATATGAGAAGTAATGAACTTACAATTCACAATCTTCTATTCAAGAGCATGCATTAACAAATGGTGGCTCACATGCCCCAGGTGGTTTTTGGTTTTCCAAAATGCAACTCACACAGTAACAAATATTAATTTTATATTGAAAACAGTTACAATTTGAAAGAGATATTGCACTGTAATGCATTCTTTTAACATGTGTAATTTTTTAATTACTTTAAATCTGTTACAAAATTGTTTTAATAATTTCAAAAAGGGTGCTATGTGTTAATACTGTAGTAAAGTATTTTATATTTCTATTGTGTACTACCATTTCTATAGTGTACTACCATGGTTATGCTTTTTCTAGTGTAGTTGATATCTGTCAGGGTAACAGGAAGACATATACATTTCCAATAAGCCGTACTAACAGTACATTTCTAATCTAAATGCACTACGAGTATGCACAGCTGTGGAAATTGGGAAAAACAAAATGAATCTGTTGACTCCTGTTAATTAAATGACTTAAAGTTAAGTTGTAAAGCCTTTCCTCTCTCTTTACAAGTACCTTCATTGTCAAATTGTAAGCACATCCGGTTAGCAATCAGATGTGGAGTTCAAATCTCAGTGTTATCATTTCATATTTTTCACATCTTCTGCTCTGAAATAAAATGTCTGATGATCTCTAAAAGTGGCGCCTGAATTAAAAAATGTGGTGGACAATAATTCATGCTCAACAGTCAACAGGATTTGGCAATTGGAGTCTTTCCACCCCATTCACCCTTTAAGTGGAGAAAAATATAAGATATTTTATCCCTCTTTACCGTATGCTTTTGTGGTGTAAATAGAAGGACATCCAACTAGCAGTTGGGATGTCTAGAGTCCAAATCCTGGAGACAGCAATGAATATTTTCCCCGTCTTCTGCTCCAAATTAAAATGTTTAATGGTCTGTACAAAGTATGGTCTCTGTATATTATGAAAACTTAAGCTATTGTTTTCTATGCTAAAATTCCAATAATATTTTCCCTAAAATTAAAACAATTTTCCAGTAACACATGTTTTCAACCTTTCTAAAATAATGAATATATGTTAAAAGCAAAGAAAAATAACTAGTTTTACTTCATTACTTCAAAATATAAAATTATTCTCCTGTTCAAAGAGAAAAACCATTTTTGTACTATTACAAAAATCATCACATCTTCTTCCTAATGCAATTTTTTTGTATTAAATCAGATAATAATTATAATCAGAAGAAAATACCTGATTTATTACGAGAAGTAAAAACTTTTAGTGCATCATGCAAAATTTTGAATTTTGTAACAAGCGCATTAAATATTTTGAAGACAATACAATAGAATAAAAATCTATGATTCTAGTTCTTTTACCATTTCTTTTTATTCAAAAACTGTTTTATAAAGTATAAAATAACATAAATATCTATTTGCAGCTCTTAGAATGTTCTTTGAGGCTCCTGAAATTTTTTAAAGACTGAGATACAGCTCTTGTTAACGTGAAACTTAGCCACTCCTGATCTAGATTACAGTTTAAAACACATAAAATGGCATCTTACACATACCCTTTGAAAATGGTTTTAATTGTATATTATGTATTTGACATATTGAAACCAACTAATCAGCTCAAAATTTGCGAAATATGGCCTAAAGTTTAATTTTTAAATACTAGGAAAAAGTCATCTCTCCAGATGTTTTTAAAATGAAGGCTAAAATTCCCTTTTAGAATAGTTAGTTTATAGTAACAACAGAATAAGTTATGGAAAGGTTAGTAAACAAAACTGGATGACCAATGGAAAATATAAGAATGTGCCCACCTTTAACAAGAAAAATGCCAGAATGAAGTCTAGAAAAAGTGTTCCATAGTTTCTTTTGTCTTAACTTCACGGTTTCTTTATTATTTATTGACAATATTGTTACGTTTTTCTTTTCTGACACAAGTTGTTACCTTATTTTCCTCCTTCACGTTCGAACGGGGTTCGTGAGGATTTGGAGTGAATAATGACAATACTACTTGACTAAACTAAACGCACTACTACTAGTACTACTACTAAAAGCACTTTATTGGCCAGTATTGTCAGGAGAGCTCCAAAACACGTTTTTACAGTCGTCGATGAACTACTATAAACACGCTGACACGATCAGCGACACAGCCTCCAGGTTATCAGGCTATCATGGTGGAGACAGCTTCACGGCAAAGCACTATAGTACAGCTCCCGACTCTGCTCGGTCGTTCTCGGAACTCTACGTACTCTCAAGACTCTCCACGCTAAACTCGTGATGCACTCGACGATACACAGAGCATAGCTCCCGAATCTTCGGTTCAGTCGTTCCCGGAGCTCAACACACTCTCTCGACGATGCACTAACTCGCGATACACTAAACACTTTCCTCGATGAACTCGGAACTAGACTTCGAGACACTCGCCCTCAATGACTGACTATCAGCTCGCTAGACGAGGCACATACTCGATACTAACTGACTCTCCGCGTACCAGCAGGATTTATATAGCTTTTGACTAGTGTTCGCTGGGCTAAACCGGTAAGAATTCGTTCCAGAAGGTTCTCCATCCGTCCGTGGCATGTCGCCAATTTTGTCACCAAATGTCGCCAAATGGGCGATTTCTCGCCAAATGTGGCATCCCTGCCATTAAAAATGCTTTTTAATGTGAAAATTCATTTGGTTTACTAACAACACATGCACATTACAAGCTAAATATACTTATAGGAAAGCAAATAATAAATAAATAAATGGATACGCTATATTGTGATTTGACATTTCTGATATGCTACTATAAGCAAGGACTTAAAACACTGAGCAATATTCTGAAAGGAGACAAACTGTAAATATCTCATACTGCAATGAAATAAAAGCAATAGTTTTTACATAGATGTACAAAAGTTAGCTACATCCTATGAAAATAGTACAAAAATTCTCATACAATATTGCAATAAATGCCTCAATATAAATAACAGTGTAGAAAAAACTCATTTAACATATGCAGAACTTACTGAAAATATTATTTCACATGAAAACTTCTCAGATTTGTGATATAAAAAATGTATAAAGCCTAATCTTTCTATTTTTTTATTATATCATGATGCATTATATTACATCACTGGAACATAGTTTGGTAATTTGAAGAACATTGCAGCTTGAAAACTATCAATTCTGATAATTGCAGCCATTTTATGTGATAAAAGATGTGTAACGCATCTTTTAAATTTATAATAGCACAATACTTGTAATAATTAAATAACACACACACACACACACATATATATATATATACAAGGTAACCAAAAAAGTTCTTGCCGTTTCTGATATGACATTGGAAGAGTGAACGCTAACATAAAAATAGTCGCCAAGCCTGGCGATGAATTTTTATTTTCAGATTTTCTACTCTGGTGTATCTACCAGTCCGATGCCGTTCGCTATTACACGTAACTAATGTTCACGCCCCCTTTCTCCAACTAGCCTCCCCCCGGACGTTCAAACATAACTCACACAGCGACTGATTGAAATGGACGTGTCAAACGCGCTCGTTCGGAGTCGTTTACTGTATGATTTTAAAGTGGCCCTGTCATCAGCAGAATCACGTCATCGAATTTGCCAGGCCTTTGGGAATGATACTGCTAACGAACGAACCGCTAGGAAATAGTTCTAGAAGTTCAGGTCAGAAGATACGTCTCTTAGTGATACACCACGCAGCGGTCGGCCGCAAGCGCTGGACGATGAGGCCCTGAGAACAGCCATAGAGAGTGACAGTAGCCAAACATGTGATGAGCTTGCTGCACACTTCCAAGTATCTGGTGAAATGATCAGACTCCATTTGCACAGCATAGGATAGGCATACAAGCTGAGCAAGTGGGTACCCCACTCACTGTCCGATTCAAACAAGCAACAGCGTGTCCCTGCCTGTTTTTCATTGTTTATTCGGCACGGCTGTGCATACATATTTGATCGAGTACTCACCAGCGATGAAAAGTGGATCCAGTATGACACACCCAGGCGTTCCAGACATTGGTTGTCACCACGGAACTCTGTGTCTCACACTGCGAGAAGATCATGCTCTGTATCTGGTGGACTGGTCGTCATGTGGTGCACTATGATCTCCTGCCAGTGTGCCAAACCATCCCGACAGGCCTCTACTCGCAGCAGTTTGAACGTGTACATTAGGCACTAATGCATAAAGAGCCAGCATTGGTCAATCGTAAAGGTATACTACTCCATGAGAATGCGAAGCCGCATGTGACTTGGGAAACCAGCGACTGGGCTGCGAGACACTACCACATCCGCCATACTCTCCAGACTTCGTGACAACAGACTACCATCTTTTCCATTCTCTGGGCAACCATCTTCGTGGAAAATCCTTTAACAACCGGCTAGACCTAGAAAAGGCCCTCACGGACTTCTTTTCGTCCTGAGTTTTACCGCGACGTCATCGCACAGCTAGCCACTCGTTGGCAAAAGGCACTGGATGCTGATTACTTTGAGGATTAGCGGTGATTATTATTTTTTTATGACTTCTGATTTCTGACTGTCCAAAACGGCAAGAACTTTTTTGATTACCTTGTATATATATATTTCTGAATGATATTATTTTACGATATGCGCCCCTCAGTTTCAGTATCAAGAACAGATCAGATTCGATTCAAAGAAAATAAAATAAATGAAATAAAACAATATACAAGACAACCATTAAATACTTTTAATAATTGACTTAATTACTAAAAACCATAAAAATACATTTAAATTAGGAATTTGGAAAAAATAATTACTTTGGAATAATTAGTAGTTTAAAACAATTAGTAACTCTAAGGTACTTTCCATTTCTAGTGACATATAAGAAGAAACAAAATGGTGAATTTTAGAATCAACGAAATACGGTATTAATAATTACACCATTCATAATTAATAAAAGAAGAATGCAATGCTATATATAAATCTAATGTGTATGATCAAAAACGAAATCTGCGAAAATGAAAACACAAATGATCATTTTGAAATTAATCAAAAGAGATAAATATAAGTATATCGGAAAAACTCAAACATCAGCGTTCAAAAGTGCTTAATTTGCTACATATGATTTAATCAAAAGCCAAAAACTAAACAAAAGTATTTATTTTTATTATTCTCATGAATTCTATCAAAAGTGAAAAGAATTAATTTGCTACATATGATTTAATCAAAAGCCAAAAACTAAACAAAAGTATTTATTTTTATTATTCTCATGAATTCTATCAAAAGTCACTGCAGGACTACAATAAAAAGTTTACTTATCACACATGAAAATAATTCCTTATTTTATATGCTTCCTTGTTAATTCTTTTTTAAAAAGATTTAAAAATTATCTTCAGTAAAAATCTTTGATAACACTTAATAGTTTAATAATTACACATTTTAGTAGAAAATACTCTAATTTAGTAAAAAATATAAAAAATATCTCAGCCAAATCACACTTGGGATTTCCTTAAATAAGCAAGAGTTTAAGATTAACAAGGAGATTAATGAACATTTCGAGTTCCCATTCAATTTCAGTTAAGTAATGTTGAAATTAAATACAAAGGCAATTATTATTTAAAATAAAAATATATGTTTTGACAAATTTTTGTGACTATAAATAATATGAACATGCCAAATTTTCTAAAGAGAAAAGTTATTTAAGACATACCTTATTCAGCTTACTATGTTCCGTATTAAAATTTTCATTTGTTTTTAGTAAGGAAAACTTTTAGTTACCTTCTCATTAAATGATATTCCAAATTTTCTCAAAACAGTGAAGCTTTCAAAAATTGAAGTAAATGTTGAATGAATATCAGCAGCATGCTTTTTGGCTCGAATCAAAAATCGTATAGAGTACTTTAACTCTTCAAGATTTTGAGGAATGTCTTTGAACCTGAAACAAAATAAAATAAAACAAGATAAACTAATTTCATTTTCATAAAACTAAATGAATTCATCTAATTTATCCAACACTTTCAATACATTTGTTATTGTGTAAAAAATCATATAATTCAGTAAATACTAATTCAATTGTTCCTAACCTTTTTGGTTCAATGCACCCTTTCACCATTGTTTGAAGATCATCCCCCCTTTCCAAAACTTGAAAAATACATACACACATTTATTTAGATTATTTTCTAACGTATTTTATAAACTAAATAATAAAAAGTATAAAAAATGTTGGTAAGTAACGCAACTTAAATAAAAGTGTTTTTTTAATACTTTCAAGTAAAGTTTAGTATTAGTTTATGAGTTTTTATATTCATAAACTAAAACTAAATACTTAACAGCTAAATAAAAGGTTGACTACATTCTGACCCCCATCCCGATAGTCCAAAATTGGCTCCTTCCTAGTTCAAAACACTTGTATCTATATAATTGGACTTACTTTTAACTGAGAAAAACTTTAAATTAAAAAAAAGTTAACCCATGAATTATAAGACTCATCACAATAATTCAAATATTAATAAAATCACTTCGTGCATCATTCTGTAAATTAATTAAGATAACAAAAAGGAACTGTGGAAAAAAAAAGAAACAATTCTATATATTCCGTTTTACTGCGACGATCGGCGAAATTCAAATTGCGTTTTCCGTATATCGAAAGCGCATCTGAGGATATATATACATTAGATTTATATATAGCATTGTTCTAACATAAGTATTTTGACACAAAATCGGACTTTTTCTGAAGTAACATACCAATTTTTTTTCCATATTTCGATTCTACGACTCAAATTATGCCTAGATATTAAATTTTGTAATTTTTGGTGAGAAATTTATGGAGAAATTTAAACATTTATCTTTGCAAATTGTTTTCAGTTTGCGTCAAGAATAATTCACTTGGCGAATTCTTAATTTATAGCAATCTATTTTCCTTTACCATTTTTTTTAGGAAAAAGTCATCGTTCATAATTTCAAATAATTTTAACAAAGTGCGTACACCATATTTTCGTTATTATGGCTTATAATAAATACGCCAAATTTCAAAAAGCGCCAAAATGTAAATTTATGTATATCTTACGAAATTTTCAATAAAGAACTCTAATTTTTTGCAGGCATGCTTAGAAATACATCTATTTTAATGTTATGGCAAAACTTTTATAGGTTATAATTCAGAATTTTTTCAAAAAATGAATAAAAATTATTTAAAATACAAATTTTAAAAATAAAAAAAGGTGGCGAATTTTATTTGGAATGAACCAAATTTCGAAATATGAAGGAAGAATCAATTACGTTTAATAAAAAAAGGAATATTAATAAAGATATACATCAAATTCAGTTAACATTGAGGAGCTAAAATTTTGAGAGCTAATTTTTAAAAAAACTACTCATGCGATTTTTATAAAACTTGACAATTTGGCATAATTTGAGTCGTAGAATCGAAATATGGAAAAAAATTGGCATGTCATTTCAGAAAAAGTTCGATTTTGAGTCAAAATATCTATATTAGAACAATGCTATATATAAATCTAACACTTATCCTACGTCACGCTTTTGAGACATGAAAAACGCAAGTTGAATTTCGTCATTCGTCCCAGTAGAACGAGAGATATGGAACTGTCCCCCCCTTTTTTTGTGTAGTGTATTGAATGCAGTTAAGAATAATAAGCAAGTTATTTTTATTGTGCTTTGAGAAACTAAGACTTTCTTCATGATCAAACATTAAAATACGCATGCTTCCAATTTACTCAAGAAAAGTTAAATAAAAAAACAATTTCATGTTTTCAATTTTTAATATAGTGCAAAAAAACTTTAAATACATAAAATTAAAATTATTAAATATAGTTTTCTTTGTAGCATGCATTTACCTAATATTCTTTTCATGCTGAATACTTCTTCCGTAAATAAAATATAAGCTTAAATATTATATATTTTCTTTTAGTTAAAAGGTTTGCTAAAATATGTGTTATTTCAAATCAAAGCTGTTTCAAGAAGAATCATAATTTAGTTCTTAATTATTAACGAAAAAACGAAAAATTGCTTGGAAAAGTTGCCAAAAATTATTCAGTTTAATCATTTAACATTTTTCATAAAATAAAATATTATTTAAAGCATGACAGTATTCAAAATGAAAGAAAATTCGAAAGACCACCAAACTGTATTATGCCATATTGCCAGGGTTAGGTTAGGTTATTTAATTACGGCAAAGCCTCGAGGGCTATCTGCCTAAAGGGAGGGATGCCTTCGTAGAGGACTTTCTAAGGGAAACTGGCTCGTATACACGTTACACATGGGGAGAACCACGAAAAGGCCCATGCAGACAGTCCGTTCGCGGAATTCGAACCTCGGACCGAACTACCAGTGTTTAGCGACTTTACCGCTCGGCCGCTGGTGGGCCTACCATATTGCCAAAATAGTCGTATTACCAAAAATAGCAAGGGTATCCTTAAAGTGTAACAAAAATTTTAATCAGTCGGAATATTTATTAATTCAAAAATTATTAAAATAATAATCTAATTTGTGTAATATAACAGCTGAGATAATGATGTCTTACTGCATTAGAAAAGATAAATGTATCTGCCGTGGATGCAGTCAGCTGATCAATGTTCACATACAGAGTACTGCCACACTTTCTTTATATTATCTCTGATATTTATATTTGGGATGTATAAATTGACGAAAATATCCGAATGATTTGTTCCGAAAATCTTCACTTGTAAAAATTGTTATTACGTAGAGTTCTTAAAAAAAGTTCAAAATTTTTGTTTAATTTTTCTGTTCTCCTGGTATTTTATTCACAGAGTTTAAACAAACTATTAACAAACGAAAATAGTAATTCAGCATCTGAAAACTTCGAAAAATATCAATATGTTTAATTTAATTATTCTTTGTTTTGAAGCTGTGGATAGCAATGATTTGTACAGCAGTTTAAAATGAATCCCAAGTTTTAAAACTTTTATTTTGGGAAAAACCCAAGATGTTATTTTTTAGTATTTAAAATTGTGAATTTTAAGATTCCAATAACACACTCTGTCACACACACACAAAATATATATATATGCACCAAGAAGAAATCGAACCACAGTCACGAAACTGGGCAGGAATGTAGTCTGGTGACATATGCGAATGATTTAAAATTTCGACGCCAATGAGGCAAGGGTAAGCGCGCTACGCGCATATGAGGTGAGCAGCTGGGAGAGTAAAAGCATAATTGCTCGTGCCGTAGGGCTATTTAAACGACTTTGTCGACTTGAATGGACGGTATTGTGACTAGAGATGTAACTGGCAGTAGTACGAACAGTTGTTGGACTTTGAGAAGAGGAGTATAGTAGGCGTCAGAGAAGCAGGTTGGTCGAACAGGTTTATCGGCCGCCACCTTGGTCGAAACGATATAATAGTTGCTCGGTATTGTTGATTACGGAAGGGAGAGTCTGCCGTTGAAGAGGACCAAAGCGTCGAAGGAACAACAATCGTCGAAGGAACAACAAGCGTCGAAGGAACAACACAAATGAGCGCAAGGATCGCGCAATCATAAAAGCGGCCACTTCCGTACCAACAACGTCGATAGCACCTTTCAACACCGTTTACCACCCTCCAGACATCCGGTGGTATCAAGGGAAACCATTTGGAGACGACTGGCCGACGCCAGTATATACTGCCTCCAATATATCCATTAAGATGCCTATCACAAACCCCACATCATAGGCAGTGTCGACTTGATTTTTGCCGAACTCGGGAAAACAGCAGCGTGACCGCCTGGAGGCGTGTGATCTTCAGAGATGAATCTCGATTCAGTCTCAGTGCTGATGACCAACGCACACGCGTGTGGAGGCGGCCAGACCAGCGGTCAGATCCGGCATTTGTTGTCGAGCGGCACACAAGTTGTGACAGTGTGGGGAGCGATTTGTTGAAAACCACGATTATCTCTAGTCGTCCTTCAAGGCACTATGACGGCTCGCATTTACGTGGACGACATTTTAACGCTGGTTGTTCTGTCTAAGCTACCCAGGTTCCATTCATCATCAGGACACGTTCGTCTACATACTGAGCGACTCTACCAAGAAAGTCTTCAAGGCTATGACGTGCTTCCGTGGCCTGCCAGGTCACTAGATCTTTCGCTAATTGGCACATGCTTGGAAAGCAACTGCAACAGTTCCAGAATACAGTCATCCCTCGCTACTTCGCTGTTCATTTATCGCGGAGTGTTCTCATCAAAAACTCAAAATTAAGGAATTATGGAGCGAAAGTTTCCCTCACGCCAGCAGAAGGCAGGGAGTACCCACACAATTCAAAATCCACGTCTCTGACTGGCTGGCTAGCATCCTGCCAAGACTACGAGGGATTTACGCCTGAAGGTCACACCACTCCGCCGTAGATAAGGCTGTGAGGCTGGCTCGGTTGGTAGCCACTGAAGGGTTCTCCGACATGATGAGGGAAGAAGTGAACACACTGATCTAGTGCCGCTCGAACCCTCTAACCAACGATGAACTCGTCGAAATGACAAGATCGGCAAGTGAGGAAGAAGAGGAGGTAGCTGACGACGGTGACGACACCGAAGCCTGAAGTATATGGCCTTACCTTGGAAAACCTGCAAGAGCTCTGCAACATAGCACGGACTCTGCAACAAAGGGCCCAAGAAACCGACGACAACATGGTCAGAGCCGTAGAATTCATCACCCGTATTGACGTTGTAATGGCGTTGTATAAGGGCACCTTTGCTCAGAAGAAAAGACAACCGCCACAGCTTCCCATCACGATGTTCCTTGTGCGCCGAAAACGTTCTGCAGAAGCTCCTCCTGCTGCCTCTACGCCGCCTCCTGCAGTTACCCCAGCTCTATCTGAAGCTTCCCGCGACGATCCAGAGCCCCCATCACCTGACGATGAGGCGTCATCTGAAGAGCAGTAAATCTCTCATTAACCTGTGCAGTAAATCATCCTCATCTTCTTCAC